GAAGCCAGGGGAGGTAGTTTGAGGATGCAGTGGGACATGTGTGTGAAATATTTTGGGAATGAGAATGTCCTGTAAACTCAATTCCTATTTTCCTCATCTTCATTCTGCATCATTTGTCTCGGGGGTGTGTCCTGAGCTCATAGACGCTTACCAAGGGGGGGAATTGGAGGGTCCTCAGCAGGGGGACACCAGAATGGACCCCTTTTTGGACTCCCGTCGAAGAATCATAATTACAGTTGCTAAAAATGACCGTCTCTGCCAAATGAGTGGGGCCCCCATGGCAAGAGGTCCATGCTCTTCGTTACCGAGTATTTGAAGGAAACTATTGATTATTGACCACACACAGACGTGGTCTTTGCTGGAGTGCACCGTGCACACACTAGGTGTTAGTGAATACGTACCCATTCACCGACGCCTTGTTTATGTTTGTGACTCACAAATAAAAGGTTTTGGTTGGCGGATTGACATCATTTGCTGGAAATCTTGTTTTATTTTTTAATTATTGACTTTTACCGAGAGAGAGAGAGAGAGAGAGAGATTTGTTGCTCCACTTTAATGCATTTGTTGGCTGACTCTTGGGTGTGCCCTGATTCTTGATTGGGGATTAAACCTGCAAACCTTGCGTATCTCGAGGACGCTCTAACTCACGGAGCTACCCAGCCAGGGCTTGGAAGTCTTGCATGAGATCTATTCTCAGAGGAGTCAGGCACATACTTCCACTGAGTTCTCCCCAAACATCACTTGTTTGCAATTAGGTAAGAAGAACATAACGAGCCGCCATAAAACAAGTGTGAGCAGCTCGGACCATTGAGTGTCCAGCGGTGAGTGAAACGTCTGCTTTGTGGAGATTCTGAGATGATTTCTCTTCTCTGGCAGGTGGCGGAATAAGAAGCTATGAAACGGCCATTCTATGACGGGTGAGTAAGGAGACAGACTTGAATCTTCCTCACTCTGTTAGGGAGAAGGAGTCTTCATCTAGGTCGGCTCCTTCCTGGGTCCTGTTTGGTCTGTTTGATCTAAGGGAGACTTGATAAGGGTTATGGGGAGTGTGGGGGTTATGGGGAGTGTGATGGGGTTATGGGGAGTGTGGGGGATTATGGGGAGTGTGATGGGGTTATGGGGAGTGTGGGGGTTATGGGGAGTGTGGGGGATTATGGGGAGTGTGATGGGGTTATGAGGAGGGTGCAGAGGTTATGGGGAGTGGGGGGGGGTTATGAGGAGGGTGCAGAGGTTATGGGGAGTGTGGGGGGGTTATGAGGAGGGTGCAGAGGTTATGGGGAGGGTGGTGGGGTTATGGGGAGGGTGGTGGGGTTATGGGGAGGGTGGTGGGCTATGGGGAGGGTGGTGGGGTTATGGGGAGGGTGGTGGGCTATGGGGAGGGTGGTGGGGCTATGGGGAGGGTGGTGGGGCTATGGGGAGGGTGGTGGGGTTATGGGGAGGGTGGTGGGGTTATGGGGAGGGTGGTGGGGTTATGGGGAGGGTGGTGGGCTATGGGGAGGGTGGTGGGGTTATGGGGAGGGTGGTGGGGTTATGGGGAGGGTGGTGGGGTTATGGGGAGGGTGGTGGGGTTATGAGGAGGGTGGTGGGGTTATGAGGAGGGTGGTAGGATTTTGGGGAGTGTGGGGGATTATGGGGAGTGTGATGGGGTTATGGGGAGTGTGATGGGGTTATGGGGAGTGTGGGGGGTTATGGGGAGTGTGATGGGGTTATGGGGAGTGTGGGGGGTTATGGGGAGTGTGGGGGTTATGGGGAGTGTGGGGGGTTATGGGGAGTGTGATGGGGTTATGGGGAGTGTGGGGGGTTATGAAGAATGTGGGGGCTTATGAGAAGGGTGGTAGGATTTTGGGGAGGGTGGTGGGGTTATGAGGAGTATGAGGGGTTATGGGGGTGTGGGGGTTATGGGGAGTGCAGTGGGGCCGTGGGTCATGCAGTCGTTGAAGATGACCTTCCTGAGGAAGGGATGTGCCCCTCGGAGTGACGGCCCGTGTGGGAATTCATGGGGCCAGAGGTAGAAATCCCAGAGACGGAGGCCACACGGGTGCAGTCAGGGATCCTGGCAGGAATTTCAGGGAGGCCCCCAGATGGCCCAGGGGCTCAGGAAAGGGAGAGAGCCCGACAGAGCAACGTGAACACGGACCCACCTTCTCTACCCCCTCGCCCACGGGTGGGCTTTGTGCTGCTTCCAAATCTTCATGTCGTCAACAGCGCCGCGGTGGACTTGGGGTGCGTCTCCATTTTCCCATCGGCGTTTGGGATTCGGTGGATAAATTCCCAGAAGTGGGTCCTCGGGCAGCTCCATGTTTAATTCTCCCAGGAGACTCCACCCTGCTCCCCACAGGGGTGGCACCAGTCTGGGTGCCCACCAGCAGGGCAGGGGGCTCCGGTTCTCCCGAAATAACAAATACAATCGACACAGACTCAGCTGTCTGAGGGCAGGGGAGGGGCTGGTGAGAAGGTGAAGGGTTTAGACAAAGAAAAAAAACACGATAAAACTTCACAGACACAGACAACAGGGGTGATTCCCAGAGGGAAGGGGGTGGGCAGGTAGAAGAGGGTGAGGGGGACCAGTAATGACGGAGGAGACTGGATTTGGGGTGGTGAGCACACAATACAATACACACATGATGTCTTATAGAATCGTGCCCCTGAAACCTATATAATTTTTTTTTAATTTAAATTTTATTTTTAATTTAATTTTTGTTACAGATGTTTCTCCTTTTTTACCCCATTGACACCCTCCTCCCCATCCCCCCCACCCCGTCCCCGGCTTTGGTGTCCATGTCCATCGGTTATGCGTACATGCATATAAGTTCTGTGGTTTATCTCTTCCCTCCCCCCACAGTCTCTTCTGGGGACTGTCAGTCTGTACCCCACTTCCACGTCTCTGGGTCTACCCTATTCCTCAGACTGTTATGTTCATTATATTCCACAAGTAAGTGAGATCATATGATACTTGTCTTTCTCTGTTTGGCTTCTTTCACTTAGGATGATACTTTCCAGGTCCCTCCATGTCATCTCAAAGGACAAGAGATCTCCCTTTTTTATGGCTGCATAGTACTCCACTGTGTACATGTACCACAGCTTTTTTATCCATTCGTCTACTGATGGACACTTGTGCTGTTTCCACATCTTAGCTATTGTAAATAGTGCTGCTACGAACATGGGGGTACATATAAAGTTCTTTCTGATTGGTGTTTCAGGCTTCTTAGGGTATATTCCTAGAAGTGGGATCACCTATATAATTTTATTAACCAATGTCACCCCCAATAAATCCAATTACAAATGAATAAACAGAAGTTAAAAAAAAAAAAAAAAACAGAAAGGAGAGCAAAGAGTTCAATTTCATGAGGCTTATTGATCATGTTGGGCTGGAGATCTTAATCCCCAAAGGACTGGGAAGTTGCTGGGCTTCTTCAGGGAAGATTGCTTTGAGACTTGTGTATTTGCAGGGTTGCTCGGATTGGCTGCATTCTGGAGGGGCCGGCTGGGAAACATGGGAATGTCCAGGCCAGGCAGGAGGATTTGGGGCATATCCCAATGACAGATGCCATCGACTCCTTGGGCACAGTGACTTGCAATTGACTGCATGAAATGCGGGGTTGTGAAATTAGTATCCTGTATGGGAATGGGTGGTCTTCAACCTGTGGTCATCACCTTGGTCAAGGGCTTTAATGTGCATTTCCTGCATATCTCAGCACTGAGCTATTCTGTGTGGATTATTCCACAGTCTAAAGTTCAGTGGAGTAGTGACGCTATTCATGATAGCTAAGATCTGGAAACAGCCCAAGTGCCCATCAGTAGACGAATGGATAAAAAAACTGTGGTACATGTACACAATGGAGTACTATGCAGCTGTGAAAAAGGAGGATCTCTTATCCTTTGAGGTGACATGGAGGGACCTGGAGAGTATTATCCAAAGCAGAACAAGCCAAGCAGAGAAAGACAAGTATCACATGATTTCACTGAATTGTGGAATATAATGAACAAAATAAGCTGATGAACAAAATAGAACCAGAGACACGGAAGTAGGGAAAAGACTGACAGACCTCAAATGGATCAGGGGGTGGGGGGGTGGGAGGGCTGGGAAGAGATAAACTAAAAAACCGATATGCAGATATGCACAACCGATGGACATAGACGACTGTGTGGTGAAGGTGGGGGGATGGGATGAGGGTGTCAATGGGGGAAAAAAGGAGGGACGTCCGTAATACTTTCAACGATAAAGATAAAAGAAATCACAGAAAATTTACCGCACTATTTTCGTGTTAAATGTCCATTTTCAACGTTAAAAGAATTGCTTTTTTTTTTTTTTTCATTTTGGTTTTTGGTTTGGCGGTGGGTGGTCGTCCCCCACCTGTTCTGTGCACATCATTTCTTCCTGATGAAAAGAGAGAACTCCTCTCTGTGCACGGATGGAGTCAACCCCAGGAGACCCGTCATCCATGATCGAGTCCTGGGCTCAGACCCAGAAAGTGACTCGATTTTCTGCTCACAATTTCCAGTCCGAGCGGCTCCCGGCGAAATGACAAACTCATGGCACGTGTCCGAAGCTACAGCTGAGCCTCAAAATAAATCAAGTCCCGCCAGCTGGCTGTGGGCAACTGATTTTTCCTTTCGTTTCTATTTTTATGTAAAAAAATGAACCCCGTGGGCCTCACACTTGAACCCCGGGCCACGTTTTTCAGAGGGTCCCCTATCACTCAAAGCACTTGAAAAGTTTTGAGGGTTCAATGCCCCCATGCCTGTCAGATGGCCAATTCGATGAGATTAACATAACACGGGACTTTCGGAAAAATTCTGTGTCTTCAGGAACCCAGCTCAGTCACGCTGAACAGTAACAACTGCTCAGAATAACGCTGTTTCCTGCGTGAAAGTTGCTTCACATGCAACGGTGGGTTGATGGTTGTGTGTCTCTGTGTGTGTTTTCTCCCCCCGCCCATTTTTGCAGGAATCTCTGGCTGTGGGTCACCCTGTCTTGCATGGTTGGAGGTCCGAAGGCCATGTTTGTGACCAGGAATTCCAGGCCCAATATTGTCCTGCTGATGGCAGACGACCTTGGGGTGGGAGATTTGAGCTGCTACGGGAATCACACAGTGAGGTAAACAAACCCGGGGTGCGGGGGAGATAGGATGACTGAGGAGGTGCACCCACAGTCTGAGTCGGTTCTGAACAGAAACACCAGAGGGCGCCCCAAGCAAGCTGCAGGAGGTCAGGTCAGCTACCGGCCTCTCTGTTCTCAGCCGCTGTGTTTATTACCGAGCTACAGAAAACAAATAAGTAAAACACCAGACAGGTGACCCGCACGTCACCCCCTTTAACCCGTTCAAAGCCCTCAGTCCAGGTGCCTTTAGGAAGGGCAGCGCCACACCCTGACCGCTGTCTGGATCTAGAGGTTCTCAGCCCCTCCCGAAAGGAGGGTATTTGCGGATAGTTATGCCCTAGTCCCCTCCCTGCCCCCAGCCCCCTGGGAACCAGGGTTCTGCTCCCTGTCTCCACGAATTTGCCTTGAATATTTTTTAAAAATATTTTTTTCTTCATTGATTTTAGAGAGAGAGGAAGGGAGAGGGAGAGAGAGATAGAAACATGGATGAGAGAGAACATCAACGGGCCGCCTCCTGCACGCCCCCCACTGGGGTTTGGGCCCATAACATGGGCCTGTGCCCTGACCGGGAATCGAACCGGCGACCTCTGGGTGCAGGGTCGACGCTCAACCACGGAGCCACACCAGCTGGACCTGTGCTAGAAATTTTATATCAATAGAATCATATCATGTGTTTGTTTGCTGAGCTTTCATAAAAGACCCCAGATAGAGCAGCTTAAACAAGACATTCATGCCTCCCAGTCCTGGGGGCTGGTGCCTCCGGAGGCCTCTCTCCTGGGCGTGTGGACGGCTGTCTGCTCCGTGTCCTCACGTGGGCGTCCCTGTGTGAGTCTGTGTCCTCACCTCCTCTTGTTATACGGACCCCAGTCCTATGGGATCAGGGTCCACCCCAGTGACCTCATTTTACCTTAATCACCTTTCTAAAGACCTATCTCCAAGTGCAGACCATTCTGAGGTTGTGGGGCATTAAAGCTTGAACATATTTATGTTGGAGAACGTAATTCACCCCACAACATACCATAGGTGCTTTTGCGGCTTGTCTCACGGAGCATCCTGTGCTCACGGTCCGTCCAGGTGGTAGCCTGTGTCAGAGATTCACTCCTTTTCCTGGCTGTGTAATATTCCACTGCACAGAGAGACCAAATTCATTTTGAGTTTTTCACCGCCTTCCTTGAATTCTTTCTGAAACCTCTGGCACCCGGTTACCTCCATTAGAAGCCTGGCCCCTATCGCCAGACAAATCCCGTTGATGCCTCTTAGCTTGAATTTATTTATTATTTTATTATTATTCTTATAAATAGTCTTTCTTGATTGAGTTTAGAGAGAGAGGAAGCGAGAGGGAGAGAGAGATAGAAACATCGATGAGAGAGAACGTGGACTGGCCGCCTCCTGTGTGCCCCCCACTGGGGATCAGGCCCACAACCTGGGCATGTGCCCTGATCAGGAATTGAACCGGTGACCTCTTGGTGCAGGGTCGACGCTAACCACTGATCCACACCGGCCAGGCTCTTAGCTTGAATTTAAATAGCAGTGTTTCCATCTGGCTGGTGTGTCTCAGCGGTTGAGCGTCGACCCTGCACCAAGAGGTCCCGGTTTGATTCCTGGTCCGATTCCCAGTTTGTGGACCCGATCCCCAGTGGGGGGCGTGCAGGAGGCGGCCAGTCGATGTTCCTTCTCATCCATGTTTCTATCTCTCTCTCCCTCTCCCTTCCTCTCTCTCTAAAATCAATAAAGAAGAAACCAAAACAAAACATTATTTCACCTTGAAATGACGATCTCAGTATAGCCCTATATTATAAGCATTTTCTTATAGACTGACGGCTGGTCTACTTAAGAGCATGTCTCCATCAGCTAGGCATTGAGGAGGCGTTTGTCTGTCTTCTCCACGGAAGCTGGGATTCATGCCGTCGCTCTCAGACGCACCCCGATCCCATCCACACGGGACTAGGCCACAGACGGGGCCCCCCAGAAGGATGCTGGAAATAGCACCTTTGTCTGCACGGAGCGTTCGAGGTGTTAAAACACATTTGGCAGCGATTTCAAGACCTGAGACTATCAGCCAAACAAAATGAGTTGAGTGAAAAAAGACACCTCTTGGTTATAAATTTAAAAATATTTTTTTAAAAAAGAGGAATCTCACTACAAGAGGAACATTCACAGTGTATCAGCTCTGAGTTATCCATCAACTTCAGGGTCAGCATGCAACCCAGTGACTCCTTCTGCGTTGGAATAGAGAGCGACACCGATTTGTGATGCGCGGGGGTCGCCGGTGATCATTATTTGCTTGTGGTCGTTTTGCCCGGAGGTAAATTGGTTTACACGCCGCTCAGTCTTTGCGTCAAACCACAGAAGCATCTAAATAGGGAGATGCATAGAATGTTCAAAAGAATGTATTTTAGGTTGAACGGAAATAGAGCAGTCTGGACCCAAAACGGGAAAAAAAGGCCTCGGCTCGTGTGCATTTATTTGATCGGGAATGAAAACCGATTCGCGGATGGTCCTTCTCCCTGCAGAACACCCAACATCGACCGCCTGGCCCGAGAGGGAGTGAGGCTGACCCAGCACCTGGCGGCTGCCTCCGTGTGCACCCCCAGCCGGGCTGCCTTCCTGACCGGCCGCTACCCCGTCCGATCCGGTGAGCGGGGGCGTCGGGGGGCCTGGAAACCGCACCCCAGCGCTTTCTTATCGGGCATGTTTGCAGCTCGTCCTGATGACTCTGAAAAGGTCACTCAGAGTATCAAGGATCTAAGTGGTATACCTGCACCGCATACACAGGTGTGTCCTTTGCTAGGGGCACCTGCTCACCTGCGTGCAGACGGTGACAGGCTCTGGGGTGCGGGCGAGCAGTTTCTGGGCTACTTGGAAAGAGACCTCAAGAGGGCCCTTGTCTCTCAAAGCTCGGACAGACCAGCTCATTATTTTAAGAAAAGGGGGTCTGGCCACCCTCTGAGGGCCAGATTGGAAAACCAGAAGGAAAAAAATGGGAATAAACAAGAGTGACGTAGAATCTCCCCCCTCCTCTCTCTTTGTCTCTCTCACACACATCAAACAGAAATTTAAAATTTCAGTCTTAACCAAGTTCAGTGCGAGGATCAGAATTTAATATTTGCCTTCGTAGCTTCACGTGACGTCGGCATTACGAACACCAAGGTGGAGTTGAGATTGTGATGATCCTTATTTATTTATTTTTTTATCCTCACCCGAGGACATTTTTCCAATTTTTGTTCAGACACAGTGGGGGGGAGAGAGAGGAAGAGAGAGAGAGAGAGAGAAACATCGATGTGAAAGGGACACATCAACTTGCTGTTTTTTAATAAAATAATTTTCTTTATTGATTTTATATCCTCACCCAAGGACTTTTTTCCATTTTTTGTTCAGATAGAGTGGGAGGTAGGGAGAGAGAGAAACATCGATGTGAAAGGGACACATCGAGTGGCTGCCACCTGCACGACCCAACCAGGGCCGGGGACAAACTGCAATCGAGGGACATGCCCTTAGCGGGAACCGAACCCGGGTCTCTCCGGACCGCAGGCCGACGCTCTAACCGCTGAGCCACACCGGCCAGGGCTGATGATCCTTTTTGATACCAGCCTGTAAAAGTGTGCCAACTGGCATCCACCAGGGGGTGGGGGATGGCGACCTGCACAGGGTGTTCCCCGAGACTTACTGTGCTTCTGAGAAGTCGGGCGTCTGTCGTTTGTGTTTCAATGATGGTTTTTTCTCTATGAGTGTTATTTATTTTTTAAAAATATTTTTTATTGATTTTTTTAAAGGGAGAGGGAGGAGAGAGAGAGAAACATCGATGTGAGAGAGAAACATGGATGGGCCGCCTCCTGCATGCCCCCTACTGGGGATCGAGCCCACAACCTGGGCCTGTGCCCTGACCGGGAATCGAACCGGCGACCTCTCAGTCCATGGACGTCGCTCCGCCCACTGAGTCACACAAGCTGGGGCTCCACTGTCTACTTTTGTAGGGTATATTTTATTTATAGGTCTATTCGTGGTAGTTGAACACAGGAAAAACACAGTCACCACGAGACGCATGTGGTCTCTCTGGTAGTCAACATGCAATAACAGTTGGAATTTAGAATTTCAGTGACCAACATAGGGGCCCCTAACCCACCGCAGGAATGTCTTTTTAGAAGATGTTTCTTGAGTCTGGCTGGTGTGGCTCAGGGGTTGAGCATCGACCTTGTACCAAGAGGTCGCCGGTTCGATTCCCGGTCGGGACACAGGCCCAGGTTGTAGGCCCGATCCCCAGTGGGGGGCGTGCAGGAGGGGCTAGTCCATGTTCCTCTCTCACATGAATGTTTCTATCTCTCTCTCCTTCTCCCTCTCCCTAAAAATCAATCAAGAAAAAAAACGCTGTTTCTTGACCTCCAAGGAGTCAGGTCTAAGGTGTGCTGAGCAGACCTTACGGGGGCGTCCGGGGGCCTGGGAACCACACCCCAGCGCTTTCTTATCAGCCTGCCAAGGGTGGGCGAACCTTTCCAAAGACGGACCAGCTGGTGGGTCCGTCGCGTAGCCCGGGTGAAACTCTTCTCCAAAGCTCTGACACAGGAGACAGATTTCAGAACCGTTTAGCAGTGTTAAGACTTGGCAGTAAGTTGGACGTGAGGCCCCATGAGGAGGCAAATTCCAGAAAAACCCGTACATTTCTGGCCTCGTTGACTTTGGGGATCATGAGTGATTCCCTGAGGCAGCTTTGGGGGCGGAACAACATGGAATTTGTATTCCACAGGCTAATATCGGAATTTCTAAATAGATCAATGCTTAGCGATATGTTTAGAAGCTGAAGCCAGGACCCAAACTTCAGAGGAAGGTTTTGGGAGGACACATACAGATGTGGGCGCTTCGCCCCAAAGAAATCTGGGAATCGAGTGCCCAACTGATGTCCAAGGACGTCACCCAGAGTAAGGTGCCTAGTTCCCTATAATTTCTGGACTCAACGTGCATATTATTCATCCCACGGTGCTCTAGGCAGTATCGGGGGCGTGTCTATGCTGAAAAAAAAAAAATGTATATTTCTCGTTAATATGAAATTCTGGCATGATTTTCTCGTGTCCTGATCCCAAGAGGACGTTTGCATTTGGTCAGTGGGAATAGGGGGGCACGTGTATACGCAAAGGCAAGAGAAAAATGTGGAAGGGGGGGAACGGACGAGGTACGGGGGGGTCAGGACGGCATAGGAGTCCCTCGAGCCTGCTGCCCGGACATGGGCTGTGGTGATGGTCTGTTGTCTGCCCCTGTGTGTGTAGGGATGGCTTCTGCCTTCAACCTGAACCGTGGCCTCGCCTGGCTTGGAGGCTCAGGTGGTCTTCCCACCAACGAGACGACGTTTGCCAAGCTCCTGCAGCACCGCGGCTACCGCACGGGGCTCATAGGTATGGCCGGGGGCTCTGGGCCTGGAAACACGGGGCGCCGGGTCCCCGTTCTTCCCGCTCAGGGGCGTCAGCTGGGCCCCCGCAAGCTGACTTCTCTTTGGGTGGGGACAGTGAGGAACGAATTGAAGGCCCAGTGTTTGCCGACCTTCAGCGCCCAGAGCAAGGTATTGGGATAAGCGTGGGAATTAAAATCCGATATGCTCCTGTACTGTTACCCCCCAGATGGAGCATCTTGTAGGGTGGGGTCCTGCTTTGGAGGCAAAAAGTGAGTGTATTTTTAAAGACGTCTTTTTAAAGTTGAGAACTGAACGCAGACACAGGGATGAAGCGGAGGCGCTTATGAGCCTGCAGACTGGATCCTTGCGGTCCTACGTCTGTGGGGTGGTGGCGTTGGGGGGTGAGGATGACCGCCAGCATGTCACCCCGAAAGTTTATTCCATGGGATTCTGGCCCCATGACGCAGTCCGCTAAGAAGAGATGCTGTTAGCAAATCATTCTGAGACGTGGTCCCTGCTTCTTACACTCGCTAGTTTTAGGATTTTCCATTTGGATGGTCACTATTCCATCATCTAAGTTGTCCTCGCTTCATTATAATTTGTTTTAAATATGTTTTTATTGGTTTTTTTTTTTAGACATAGAGGGAGGAAGATAGAAACATTGATGAGAGAGGAACATGGATCAGCTGCCTCTTGCACGCCCCCTACTGGGCATCGAGCCTGCAACCTGGGCCTGTGTCCTGACCGGGATTCGAACCGGTGACCTCCTGGTCCATGGTCCATGGGATGATGCTCCATCCACTGAGCCACACCCGCTGGGCTAAGAGGTCCTCACTTTATAAAACGTGACTTTGTATCACCCACATGTGACTCGTAGGGAGTTTATTCCTATGACCCCTCCCCACCAGCATCTTTGTGAATAAACATCTTCTAAATGAGCTTTTAGGGATACTCAGCGCACCGCCAAACCTGGCTTCAAGGCCAGCTCAGCCAGCATTCAGGAGACCTCGGGCTTCCCCGTGAACCTAGGGAGTAGCTTTCTCATCGGTGAGAAAGGGTCCGGAAAGGATTACATACAATCACACGTGTGAATGAATTCGTACCTGACCCGCGCGGACGTGCTCACCCGAGGGCACGGCCGTCGTTGGCTGAATCCTTTTGGTCACAGTACGTTTCCGCCGTTTATCATCCGCGTCTTGGGGACCTTGGAGAGTAGCTGTGAGCACAGACGTCTGGCTATTTTTCAGTGGGTAGAAGGAGAAAGTCAGAAATCCCTGAATCTGTCACCTGCAATTGCACCGCTGGTCCGTGGAAACAAGAACACACGACCATGAAGACACCGAGACGCAGGTTCTAGCTTCCCAGCTCGTGCCGGCCACGTGGGAAATCTTGAACCCTGGAGGCGTTGGATATGCACCAGCGTATGGTTCCTTGTGAATCACACTGTCCCGTCCTTCTCGACATCTGTCCTGCTGCAAGGAAAACAAGTGTCCGTGGCCCAAGTTTGGTCTGAAAGATGCAATTGTAGGCAAAGAGGTGTTGGAAGCATACAAAGGGACACCTTAGCATGTCCAGGGAGGTGATGAGAGACCAATAAGAGCTGTCAAGGGCAAGAAAGTGCAGGTCCTTCTTAGCTGCTCCTGAGACAGATCCACATTGTGCAGACAGACTGACGTTCGTGCTGCTACTGTCTCGGTTTTGTGTGTTTCAGGAAAGTGGCATCAAGGTCTGAGTTGTGCCTCTCGGAATGACCACTGTTCCCACCCGCTGAACCACGGGTTTGACGACTTCTACGGGCTGCCCTTCGGCCTCCTGAGTGACTGCCGGGCTTCTGAGGTGCCTGAACTCCACCGCTGGCTCCGGGTCAAGCTCAGCATCTCCACGGTGGCCGTCGGCCTGGTCCCCATCCTACTGCTCATTCCCAACTTCACCCGCTGGTTCTCGGTCCCGTGGCCGGTCATTGTGACCTTCGGGCTCCTGGCCTTCCTGTTTCTCGCGTCCTGGTACTGCAGCTACGGGTTTGTCCGGCGCTGGAACTGCATCGTGATGCGGGACCACGCAGTGATCCAGCAGCCGATGACGGAAGGCAGGGTCCCCTCGCTCCTGCTGAAGGAGGCCCTGTCCTTCATCGACAGGTCGTTGCTCGTTTCTGCCCTCCCTTCCCGCACTTTTATTGTTATTTCAAAGAAGCAGGGGCCCTGGCCGGGTAGCTCAGTCAGTGAGAGTGTTGTCCCTATAGGCCAAGGTTGCAGGTTTCATCCCTGGTAGGAGCCCACCAGTGAATGCATCAATAAGTAGAACAAGAAATCTATATTTCTCTCTCTCTCCCTCTTTTTCTTTCCCTTCCTTTCTCTGTCTCTCTAAAAATCAATAACAAAAGCAAACCCAGGGAGGTGGGATTCCTTCATTGTGGGGATATGACCTCTTTTGTGCGTGTGATGTTCGCAGGATAGCAGAATCGCTCCTTGAGTAGAGGAAAGTAGATTCTATTTTCTGCATATTTGGGACACAGAAATGACAAAGGCATGGGTTTTGCTCACTGCGTTGAGGACACAAACGAACAAAAACCACTTGGATTACTTAATCGTAATCCACGTGGAAGCCATGTGGATTGTTATCGACACTGATTGATTCATGGGAGTTGGTCTTGAACTTGCTTGGCCTCAGAAATCGCCCGAAAAGACTTGTCTGTCCACGAACGGTTGGGAAGTGACTCTGTTGATGCATCCTTTTAAAGTTTCTATGTTGTATAAGAACCCATGTAGCAAGGCGAGCTCTTCACCTCATAGAAAGATAGGATTCAAGTTCAGAATTGACACCCAAGGACATCACCCAGGGTAAGACGCCTGGTTAAACTTGAATTTTGAATAATCAACAAGTCCTTTTTTGGGTTCAAGGACGCTCTATGCAACATTTTTGGGACATGTCTCTTCTGTTTCCACAGCAGATCACTTCTAGATGACCAGGTACAGGTCTTTTAATGTTGTCGGCATGGACAGCCATTGATTTGTTTCTTTACTCTGCTAATTTGGGGTGCAAAGGGGTGATGGAGATGACATATTATAACTCCAAGGGGTGGAAGAGTAGATGATGGGACCTCCTTCTCGTAAGTCTTTGTGACTGTCCATGCTTTATTATTATTATTATCTTTTGTTCTAACACCACCGTCAGAATGGTGATACAGTTGCCTGTCACACCCATTTTAATTCAAGTTAGCTTGGGCTGCTGTTGAACAAACATGCCCAGTCTTTAATGCTCCTCACCCATTCCAATGCCCGTTGTGAAAGTAGATAAAGAAGTAGGTTTAGAATGACTACAGGAGGCATTGAAATCTAAGATATAAAAGAGAAAAGTGTATTTCTTGATTGTTATGAGCGCTTTAGCGTCTTCTATCTTGCTATTTTTAAAAATGCTGCACGAGCAGCCTCATAGCCCAAAGTAGATGCCAGGGCTCCAGCCATTATGCTTATGTTCCAGGCAGCAGAAAGGAGGAGGAGAAAGAACTGAAAAAGAACTTTTCTGTCAATGGTGTGCTATCTTTTACAGGCACGGCCCTTGTCTGCCTTATCAGTACTTAATCTCATGGACACGTCATGATATAAAGAGTCTGGGTTCTTGGAAACGCTGTGTCCTGTTAAATGTTGAGCGTTTGTGTAACTGAGATCACAAGGAAAATGGAGAGTAGGGAGTGTCTGGAACCTGGACTCAGTACGTCTGTGTCTGTATTTAGAATACGATTCTTCTTAACTCATGTCACACAGAGAATTCTCAGGCAATAGGTGGGGAGAATCGAAATGACTTTTTCTTTTAATATTTTCTTTCTTTATTGACTTTAGAGAGAGAGGAAGGGAGAGGGAGAGAGAGGGAGAGACATCGATGAGAGAGAACATAGATTAGCCACATCCTGCATGCCCCCCACGGGTGATATGGCCCAACAGCTGGGCATGTGCCCTGCCCGGGAATCGAACCTACGACCACTTGGTTCAGGGTCGACGCTCAACCACTGAGCCACACTGTCTGGGCTCAAAATGACTTTTTCATTCATTCATTTATCCATCCATCCATCCATCCACCCACCCACCCACCCACCCACCTATCCATCCACCTATCCATCCATCCATCCATCCATCCATCCATCCATCCATCCATCCATCGATCCATCCATCGATCCATCCATCCATCCATCCACCCACCCACCCACCTATCCATCCACTTATCCATCCATCCATCCATCCATCCATCCATCCATCCATCCATTCATCCATCCACCCACCCATCCATCCACCCACCGATCCATCCATCCATCCATCCATCCATCCATCCATCCATCCATCCATCGATCCATCTATTGATCCATCCATCGATCCATCCACCCACCTATCCATCCACTTATCCATCCATCCATCCATCCATCCATCCATCCACCCATCCATCCACCCACCTATCCATCCATCCATCCATCCATCCATCCATCCATCCATCCACCCACCTATCCATCCATCCATCCATCCATCCATCCATCCATCCATCCACCCACCCATCCACCCACCTATCCATCCATCCATCCATCCATCCATCCATCCATCCATCCATCCACCCACCCACCCACCCACCTATCCATCCATCCATCCACCTATCCATCCATCCATCCATCCATCCACCCATCCATCCACCCACCTATCCATCCATCCATCCATCCATCCATCCATCCATCCATCCACCCATCCATCCACCCACCTATCCATCCATCCATCCATCCATCCATCCATCCATCCACCCACCTATCCATCCATCCATCCATCCATCCACCCATCCATCCACCCACCTATCCATCCATCCATCCATCATCCATCCATCCATCCATCCACCCACCCATCCACCCACCTATCCATCCATCCATCCATCCATCCATCCATCCATCCATCTATCCACCCACCCACCCACCTATCCACCCACCTATCCATCCATCCATCCATCCATCCATCCATCCATCCATCCATCCATCCATCCATCCATCCATTTATCCATCCATTTATCCATCCATCCATCCATCCAATAAAGATAAGAATAATTTATTAAGCTGCTGTTTTATATTGCATGCTATACTGGATACAGAAAATCAAAAGACATTGCTTTAGTTATTTTATTGTCAGTACACCTTTTCCAGTCTTCTTCATCACCCTCAAATCCTTTCTGCATAAGTCTTGATGTGGAATTCGTTCCTCGCATGAGTGATATCGATAATCTATGTAAAAAATATCTCCATCAACTCTTAGGAGATCGTGTTCAAGTAGGAAAAAAAACACCTCTATTTGTAAAGATAACTCGGTGTGACTTTCTGCTTTTAGGTATAAACATCGTCCATTCCTCCTGTTCGTCTCTTTTCTACATGTGCACACGCCACTGGTCACCAGACAGAAGTTTGTGGGGCGCAGTAAACACGGTCGATACGGCGACAATTTGGAAGAACTGGACTGGATGGTGGGTGAGTAACTCAGGAAAACCAACTTCCAGTGTCCGACTCACGGAGCAGAGACAGCAAATCCGTATTCATCGCCCCAAATGACGTACTGTGCTGCCTGTCTTGGGACATGAGTTTCACCAAATTGAACGAAAATCTGGCTTCAGTAAAATTGGGGGGTATTCCCCAAGCCATCAGTCACAGCTGGAGAATATAGGTTTCCCCATCTTTAGTATAAAAATACCCTCTTTCCCAGAAAAAGATAACTGTGGCTAGATGAATAATGTTGTAGAGAATATCATCATTCTTCCCTCTTTTGGTGGCTATAGAAGGGACCGTGTTCTCTTTCTCTGTTTTTCAAGAAATGCTTAGAACTATGGCAGATTTATTCAGACCGAAGCCAGAGTGGTCTGGTGACTGTAGAAATGTACTACGATGTATAATTCATTAGCTAAGGGGCTGGTGTAAGCCAAGCCAGTGAGGGAAGGTGTTATCCCTGTTTTACCACAAAAGAGAATTCCTTCATCTCAACGGGAACTTTTACTTTGGGAAACACAGTACATTGCTTTTTTTTTTTTCTTTTCTGGTAGTGACCAGGTCTAACCATTGCAGAAACACCCAAACTGACAACTCAGCTCTCTGCTGTCTGTGCAGATGAACATTTATGTTGAGCACTTTTCACAGAAACACAGGCCTTGGCCAGGTAGCTCCGCTGGTTGGAGCGTCGTCCTGGTAAAACCAACATTGCAGGTTCGATCCCCGATCAGGGCCCCCTCCACAATCCCCCAGTGAATGCATCAAAAAGTGGAAAACAAATCAGTGTTTCTCTCTCTTACCCTCCCTCTCAGTCTCTCTCTAAAATCAATCAATGAAATATTTACAAATAGAAATAGAGCTAACTTAATTGAAATGCATTTGAAGTGTGTTCAACCACCCAAGTCTAGCTGACTTATAAGGTAAGATCTTCTAGTATTGCAGAGGTACCTTATCCTTGAGTGGATTTCTCCTTTTCTGTTTCCATGATGTGTGTTTAGACGAATGGGTAAAAAAGCTGTGGTACATGTACACAATGGAGTACTATGCAGCTGTAAGAAAGAAAAATCTCTTATCCTTTGAGACGACATGGAGGGACCTGGAGAGTATTATCCTAAGTGAAACAAGCCAAGCAGAGAAAGACAAATACCACATGATCTCACTTAATTGTGGAATATAATGAACATAACAGTCTGAGGAAGAGGGTAGACCCAGAGATATGGAAGTAGGGTACAGACTGACAACCCTCAGAAGGGGTGGTGGGGGGAGAGAAGAGATAAACCACAGAACTTATATGCATGTACGCATAACCAATGGACACGAACAACAAAGCCAGGGACGGAGTGGGGGGGATGGGGAGGAGGGTGTCAATGGGGTAAAAAAAAAAGGAGAAACATCTGTAACAAAAATAAAATAAAATAAAAAGAAATAAGAAAAAAAAATAATATTTGAATAGGAACAACTCGAGGCCTTCATTAAAGTATACTAATCTTCTAACACCAAAACTCATTTTAAGCTCATTGAATTAATGCAAAAACCCTATTACTGGCTTACATTTTATACTGTGGTAGATAGATAGATAGATGATAGATAAGTAGATAATAGATAGACACAGATATAAAGTTATATAGGGTGTAGATATTATTCTCTCTATATATATCTACTTGTTATTTTTTGCTCTATACACTTATACTGTGCATAATATATAAATTATACACGCTATAAATTTAAATGTAGATATAGTTAATTTTCTGGAGATAAACCCAACCATTGACACTCATTACAACTGTGACAGTAAAAACAGCTGCAACATTGTATCCTTTGTGTAACTGTCGAATTATGATTTCTTTGCTTGATGATGATTTTCTTCCCGAAAAACTCCTTTCCAAATACATCGCTTGGCTGCATTGGCTGTATTTTCGCAAAGGGCATTTCTGTCTAATTCTCTGTCTGAGATCGGTTGCTGACAAGTCATGAGGTCAACATTCTCACAATCTAGGTCAACACGCAGAATACGTGTGTGACAAAAGGTGTGGAAGTCAGTGAAGGGCTAATGTTATTTATTCGGGAAAGAACCCAAAAGCGGGCATTTCTCCATGTAACAGCCCCGCAATACGTTGCATGTCCTCCTTCGTTGGTAACAAACACCACACAAAACCAGAGGCAGACGACCCGCCCGAGATGCGTCTCCTCTGCGTGTTATCGTCCTGTTTCAGACGATTCTGAAACTCAAAGCTGTTCAGTCCGTTATTCACCGCGGCCCAGAATAAACAATAACACTCTCTTCCTGGGCCCTCAGAAGCTCAGCAACCTTTGCAAACTTCGTCGCAAGGACATGTGTACTTTTCACGAATATTTCCAGCCTCCTGTTGCTCTTGGCCTGTTTGCCTGTATTTTCGTCCAGGAAGAGATCGCACGATGATTCTGTTCCCACGGACGTGGACGCACCGACGTTTTTATGCATCGCACACGCAGGGGCATTGACATATATGTTTCCAAAGAGAAAAGAATCTGAATCCTTTTTATTTGCTTGGTCTAAGTTACACATGATCCTTACGGTCCATGCTATTCCCAGGTCTAACGCAGGCTGATCATTCGTATGTAATTCCTCGTGTGGGCCTTTTAACATTTTCCTCTTGCTAACCCTGGACTTCAAAAAAAACAGTCTTAATTTGTGCCAACGGCATTTCTTTTTTTTTTTTATCCTCACCCAAGGATATTTTTTTTTCCAATTTTTGTACAGATAGAGTAGGAGGGAGAGATAGGAAGGGAGAGAGAGAGAGAGAAACATCGACGTGAAGGGACACATCGAGTGGCTGCCACCCGCACGACCCACCAGGGCCGGGGACAAACTGCAACCGAAGTACGTGCCCTTAGCGGGAACCGAACCCGGGTCTCTCCGGACCGCAGGCCGACGCTCTAACCGCTGAGCCAAACTGGCCAGGGCCCAACGGCATTTCTTAAAACGGCCGATGCGGCTTCTGAAATCAATCACTTTGAAGCCATAATTAAATAGCCCGGCTAATGGGTTGATGTCCACACAAGGAGTTCTTTGTGTAGCCAAGAGCATTATTTTTTATATCTTTGAATGGAACAAGATTAATGCAGGGGTCACAGGCTGGATGGCGGGACCACCCCGAGTCCCTCAGTGACCCTGGATGGTGTTGTGTGTTGATGGCAAATGTCCCTACAAGAATCACAAATAGTGTGGGATGTGTCTACATCCGTTTTAGAATAATTATTATTATTATCCATTTATGTTTTTTACAACGCTCTTTGTCTTCTTAAGGAATCGTCGACACAGGAACACAGTATTTGCTGAGTCGGGCGAAGTATGAACCAGCTTAGTCACACCCAGAACAAAGAGAAAGTCGTACAGTTTAGATGCAGAAACGAGAGAGTGGGCGATAAATCCCTGGAGCCAGGTGGATGGGTTTGCTTGTTGACACCGGGTGATGTCCCTTTTTATCCTCACCCCAGGACATTTTTCCTTTTTTTAAATTCAGACAGAGCAGGAGGGAGAGAGAGGAAGAGAGAGAGAGAAACATCGATGTGAAAGACACACATCGAGTGGCTGCCACCCGCACGACCAACCGGGGCCGGGGACAAACTGCAACCGAGGTGTGTGCCCTTAGCGGGAACCGAACCCGGGTCTCTCTGGACCGCAGGCCGATGCTCTAACCTCTGAGCCAAAACGGCCAGGGCAAGATGTCCCTTTTTAGACGATGATTTCTTTTCCATTCGAACGCATACATGAATTTTAACTGCTGGGCCTAATTCATATCGCCTATTTGAATTGTTGTGTGGGGAATGATGAAAGTTTATTTTATTTCACTTTTTTTATCCTCGCGCGAGGATGTTTTTGAATTATCTTCAGATAGAGCAGGAGGGAGAGAGGGGGGAAGACAGAGAGAAACATCAATGTGAGAGAGACACATCGACTGGCTGCCACCCACACAACCCCAACTGGGGCCGGGGATGAACTGCAACCGAGGTACGTGCCCTTAGTGGGAACCGAACCTGGGACTCTCTGGTCCGCAGGCTGATGCTCTAACCACTGAGCCAAACCGACCAGGGCTGACGATACTTTAAATGACACATTATTGCATACTTTGCAATATATTGTATGCTATAGAATTTATATATACTGCACATTATTGCAATTTATAAAGACTATTTTCTTATATATTATATATAAAGCCATATGATTCTAGAGTAAATCGACGTATGACATGCTACATAATAAAAGTACACATGATTTAATGCAGTACTATATGTTACTCTCATGCCATAAAGCAGCGGGTTTTTTTTTAAAACATGATACTGGTGATTGAGTCAGGGACAGTGACCTGTTTTCCCTTGGATGGTACTAAAGTGACAAGGCCAAGACAGCAATAGCCGTCCAGTGTGAATGAATCAGAAGTAGACCTAGATTTTTTGTCAGGTAGGCGAACACTGTAATCTTCTTTGCGTGTGCTACAAAATTTATTTGGGTGCAACGAGATTAAAGAAAGGTTGAAAATCACAGTCATGAACAATTATCCAATGTCATTACTGTATGACATATAATTGTCAAGTATATGTGTATGATATATTTATAACATACATTCATAGTTATAATTATTTTATTATATTTGTACGTATTGCATGTTATATATTTTTTATATAATGCAATGTTATGTAATATTTATGTTTAAAATATTTATAGGATTGCAATAAATAAGGTTTAAAATATTTACAAGATTGCAAAAAAAATTTTTAGAACATGATACTGGTGATTGAGTCAGGGACACTGACTTCTTTTCCATCTTTATAAACATATATAAAGGTTATATTTAGTACATATTATGATACATATTATATATTCCAATTTATTATAAGTACTTTTTAATTTATTTTTTTATTGCTAAACGTATTACAGATGTCCCCCCTTCCCCCCATTAGCCCCCAAACTAATGGAAGTATGTTCTGTATTTTTAATGTAATAATAAGTTGTAGCTATTATATAGTTACTATAACTATATAACATATTATATCAGACACCTATAACAAATAATGATAAATATAGATTACTTATTTTACGTACTATATACTACATATACTATATTAAGTGCATTCTGTATCATATATAACATATAAATACACAGTATACGGTATACATCATGGATACTATATATTTGTTAGAGCAGTGTATACTAGCGATTTCTCACATAATATTACAAATAGAGAATCACATCTCATTCAGCGATGCTGTTACGTGTCGTGAATGAGAGTCAGGGCATGATCACCGGCGGTGGTTCTGGCTGAAATGTGAGGAGTGTCCTGTGTTCAACCCCCCCAGGTAAGATCTTGCAGTCCCTGGACCGGGAGCAGCTGGCCAACCGCACGCTGGTCTACTTCACCTCGGACAACGGGGCCTTCCTGGAGGTGCAGGCCGGCGGGGCGCACCTGGGAGGCTGGAACGGGGTCTACAGAGGTGAGGCCACCCCGCCGCCCTGCTCAGCTTTGCTTTCACCCCGATCCGCGCGCCAATGCTGTTGGGAGATTTCAATGAGTCACCCACCCTTATAAAAGCAGATGGAGTTTGGGGGCCATGTCCAGAGTTTAGGACACACATGTGCGAAGTGATGAGAACCTCAAGGAAGTCAGGATGTAGGGTCTCAATGACATGAAAGTCGGATTTCTGGACCTCACGTACTGACGGCGGGGGCTGGAGGACTCTCCGATGGGGGCGTCCTGTGCACTGCAGGGTGGTGAGCAGCCTCTCTGATCTCCACCCGCCAGTTGTCAGAACCACGCCTCACCTGAGCTATGACAGCCAATGATGTCTTCGGGTGTTATCAAGTACGGTGAGCCTGATAACGGGAGGCGAATTTCATTTACTCAGCCTGCAACGCCTCACTGCACGTGAGTTCTTCTGACTCTGGTGGCTGCCACGTTGGATTATCCAACAACTAACCCCACAGACTGTGCTCTTGGGCATCGGCCAAGCAATGCGGCAAGAAGGAATCATTAGAAAGTGTATTTGCTGTCCGCTGTACCTCTCATTGACTTCCTGTTATTATCATTATTATTATTATTATTATTGTTTTTACCTTTTTTAAAATTTAATTTAATTTTTTTCCAATTTTTATTAACTTATTTTTGTTACAGATGTTTCTCCTTTCTTCCCTGCTAAACATGCTCCTCCCCATCCCGCCCCCCACCCCCCTTCAGCATTGTTACGCATACATGCATATAAGTTCTTTGGTTCATCTCATCCATTCCCCTTGCCCCCCTACCTTGAGGCTTGTCCGTTTGCACCCCAATTCCATGTCTCTGGGTGTATTTTGTTCCTCAGCTTGTTTTGTTCATTATATTCCACAAATAACTGATATCATGTGGTATTTGTCTTTCTCTGTTTGACCTGTTTTGCTGAGGATAATACTCTCCAGGTCCCTCCACGTCGTTTCAAAGGGTAAGAGATCTTTCTTTCTCACAGCTGCATAGTACTCCATTGTGTACATGTACCACAGTTTTTTTATCCACTCATCTGTTGATGATATGTTTTTATTGATTTTTTAGAGAGAGAGGAAGGAAGAGAGAGAGAGGAACATCAATGTGAGAGAGAAACATTGATCAACATTGATTGGCTGCCTCCTGCACGCCCCCTGCTGGGGATGGACCCCACAACCCGGGCATGTGCCCTGACCAGTAATTGAACCAGGACCTCTCAGTTCACGGAATGACACTCAGTCCACTAAGCCACACCGGCCGGGCAGAGTTCCTGTTATTAAGTTGCATTGAGAAGATTCAGGACAAGCTTATGTTTGTTTATTGCTTGTCAACACAAAAAACATATATAATTTTGTTCAGAGAGCCTGTGTTGTCTTCTTTTTCATACAGAATGGTTCTTCGGGCCTGGTAGAGGGCTTAGGCATTGGTTAGACTGGAGTCTTCGTACCTAAATCTTTCTCCATTTCAAGTCCCCCAATTTACTTAGTGAGATACTGTCTTGTGTGTTCTTTGAAATTCCTAGTTTCAAGTAATGTTCATACAACAGGTGTTCTACAGACATTTTCTGCTCGCTCTGCTTCGGAAGCATTTCCCTCTCTAAAACATCTCATTTCTTTTTCTCTGGATAAGTGTTTATGATCTTTACTGAGGTTTGTTGATCTGTTCCCTACTTCCATAACTCTGGGTCTCTTTTGATCAACAAAATTACCAGCATATTGGATCCAGCAATATATTAAAATAAATTATTCACCACGACCAAGTGGGATTCATCCCAGAGATGCAAGGCTGGCACAATATTTGTAAATCAATAAAGAAAATGAAAGATAAAAATGATATCATCAAATTGATAGATGCTAAAAAAAAGCATTCGACAAAATCCAGCACCAATTTCTCTTCCACTATGAGTAACTTGATCTTATATTGTTCTTGAAGCATCAACTTTGTGCTCAGAAATGTTCCAAATGTCCTTTGTCTAAGAGACTTTCTCAACACCTTTTCTACCTCCCTCTCTTCTCCTTCTTCCTCTAGACTTGGAATCAGGGTAGAGAGGAAATCAGTGGTTACCCCCCAGAGGTAACCATAACACAGGGAGAACATGTATTTCTAGTCTTGCTTTGAACTTTGCTCACTTTTTCATGTTTGACAACCTGATGTTATTCCAATGAAGCATAAAGAATTTCAATAAAACTCCCTCATGAAGCAATCGCTCTCCTGGGCATATATCTGAGGAAACCCAAAACACTCATTCACAAAGACAGATTCACCCCTATATTCATTGCAGCATTATTTACAAGAGCCAAGAGAGGAAAGCAACCCAAGCATTCATTGATAACTGAATGGATAAAGAAGATTTGGTACATATACACAATGGAATATTACTCAGTCATGAAAAAGAATGAATTATCACCATTTGAGACCACATAGATGGACCTGGAGGGTATTATGCTCAGTTAAATAAGTCAGACAGAGAAAGACAAATGCCATACAATTTCAGTTTTTGGAGAATCTAAAGAACAAATTAAATGAAGAAACCAAACAAAAAACAGACTCATAGACACAGAAAACAATAGACTGTTGCCAGAAGGAAGGAAATTTGGGAGACTGGGCAAAAAGGCAAAGGAATTAAGTACAGATTGGCAGTTACAAAAATAGTCATGGAATGTAAAATACAGCATAGGGAAATAGTCGATAATATTTTAATAGTTATGCAGGGTGTCAGGTGATAGCAGCGTAATTGGGGTGATGCCTTTATAAGTTTTATAAGAGTGTAATCACTGCACTGTATGCCTGAAAATAATATAATATTGTATGCTAACTGCAAATTAAAAAAAAAATTAAAAACAAAATAAAACCAAAAAAAGAAACTATAGATTTTTAGTTTGTGGGATATTCTATCCTCATTTTTCATAATATTGAAACTCTGAAGTTAGGTTAGGACAGCTCTTAATTTTACATACCATGACTAAATTTGTCACTTGAGTGATGAAATTTCACAACTAGAACGTTCACCTTTTCTTTTTAAAGCTTTTTAGCGGGTGATTTTTTAAATTTATCCTCATCCAAGGACATTTTTTCATTTTTTTGTTTAGATAGAGTGGGAGGGAGAAAGAGGAAGAGAGAGAGAGAGAGAAACATCGATGCGAAAGGGACACATCGAGTGGCTGCCTCCTGCATGACCCAACAAGGGCCAGGGACAAATTGCAACCGAGGTACATGCCCTTAGCTGGAACCAAACCTGGGTCTCTCTGGACCACAGGCCAATGCTCTAACCGCTGAGCCAAACTGGCCAGGGCAAGGGGGTGATTTTTTAAAATTAAATTTATTAGGGGTAACACTGGTTACCAACATTGTACAAATTCCAGGTGTATGACATGCGTCTACTCCATTGTGTGCCGAGCACCCAAATCCTAGTGTTTTTCATCACCCTGTCATTGACCCCCTTGACCCTAGACTTTTCACCTTTTGAAGGCAAGAATTATGGCTCATGGTTACTTGTATCTCTCTTGTTGAGTATAGCACACTCATAGCCATATCATAAAGCAAGGAAAGTTACGTCTAGGTTTAATTTCCAGTCGAGTGCAGCATGGTAAGGTTGAGTTGAATTCATCTTTACCTTTCATGTTTGCTTTTAGGTGGGAAAGGAATGGGCGGATGGGAAGGGGGCATCCGTGTCCCAGGAATATTCCGGTGGCCGACCGTCCTGGAGGCTGGCAAAGTCATCGACGAGCCCACCAGCCTAATGGACATTTACCCAACGTTGTCATATGTCAGTGGAGGAATATTGCCCCAGGACAGGTATGAAACCATGGCTTGCTTCTAGTCTGGGTAGATCGATTGGAGTTACGACAACATGAGTTAGATAATTTTGTGTGCATTTGTGAAGCAGGTGACTTTATTTTCAATATTATGTTAAGACTGCCTGGCATCTTTCTCTGCTTCGTTTATGGTGACATAGATGGTCTGTTTGCGTCTTTGTGTCTTACGGTCTTTCTCATGTCATACTCATGTAGTGCGTGGAATCTGAACTTCATTATATTCCTCAAGCAGTATTTTGTCTCATTCCTACACCCTTTTTTATCCATAAACCCTTACGTAAATATTGGCCAAATAAATGATTGAATAAAAGGAATCACATGTCTACATATGTGTGATGAACTATGTCACATTTCTCTATGGGCTTTAAAACGAATAACTGCATGACCATGGTCTAATGGTTTGATTCTGTGTGGGTGGGTGGGAGGGGGTGTACATTAATCTGCAGTGGAATCTCTCTTCTATCAAATAAGTGAAAAGTGCAATGTTTTCGCCCATGACACTCATTCATGCTCTTTCAAGTTATTACAAGAACATTTCCAATAGCTGCCTTCTCCCACTGTCTTAGAAAATGTATCATATGTCTTCCTTTCTTGTTTTGTTTTTTTTTGTTGTTGTAAAGTAACTGAAGATGTGTCATATGCTTTTAAAAATCTGACTCTTCCATGTCCTCCTCCTCCTTTCCGTCTTCCTCCTCCTCTTTCTCTTTCTGTGATGAGCAAGGGGACTAAACCAAACCCGCCCACCACATTCTGTGTTTTCCTTTCTCTCCTAAGAGTGATTGACGGCCAGAACCTAATGCCTCTGTTGGAAGGCAGGGTCCACCACTCCAACCATGAGTTCCTCTTCCACTACTGTGGGGTGTACCTGCACGCTGTGAGGTGGCATCAGAAAGACTGTGAGTATGAAGATGGTTGGCATGTGAGCACATGATAGGAACACAGTCCTGTGTTGTTTTTCTCTGATGGGGGCAGGTAGTTACATCATGTGCAAATACCACCCAGCCAGGAGGACTCTCTTTTATTTTATTTTATTTTTTTTAAGGAAAATTATGTAAGCAGCTATTGTACTACAGTAAGACGATACGTGTGTGAGTATGTGTGTGTGTGTGTATAAGCTCATATGCATAAATATGGGGAGAGAGAGAGAGAGGAAGGGAAAAGAGAGAGAGAGAATACAAATATCCATAATTAACAACGTTGAAAAAACTAGCAAAAGGAAGTAAACTTTATTGTAACTCACACATCAGTCACTAACTGCTGCTTCTTATTCATTGTTTCTGTCTCGCCTTCACACTGTAGGATTCCTGTAAATAAATATGAATTAACAAATAATACTGATTGCTTTACATCTGTGAAAGGAAGTTCTTTCAGAGAGATAGTTGGATAAAGTTTTAGAATATTTACTTGAGTAGGCTTGCCTCAATTTGCAGGACAGACAAGGGTTTTCTCCCATGAGAGCCATCACTGGCAGCGTGATCCATTCTCCATGTCCATGTGGATGAGTCTTCCAAGTAAAATAAAAACAAACAGAAACTTTTTATTTGTAGATTATGTCTCTGCTAGGGCTGGTATAGGGCTCAATGCCACAGTCAGGGGTCTTTTGTGTTTCTACTCACACATCTCTGGCATGCTTCTTTAAATTCTTGTTCTTCTAACCCTGTGGGTGCAAAATGGCTGCCGTTGCTCCGGGCATCAAGTCTGTACTCCATCTAGGAAGAAAGTAGAAGAGCAAAGGAGATGAAAGATCCAGTCTGGTGACTTAGTCTCATTTTATTAAGAAAGCACAGTTTTACTGCAAAGAGCGCACTGATGGACGCTTGTGGAAGCCTTATTGACCAAGGCTGGGAATTTCAAAGAATGTTTTCTCTCTAAAATTGACTTCTGGAAGCTCTGGCTGGTTTGGCTCAGAGGTCAGAGTGTCAGCCCGCAGATCAATGAGTCTTGGGTTCAATTTCAGTTGAGGGCATGCACCACCTCAGCTGCTGTTCATCCCCAGCCCTGGTTGGAGTTGTGCAGGAGGCGACCAGTTGATGTATCCCTCTCATGTCAATGTTTCTCTTTCTCTCCTTCTCTTCCCTCCCTCCCACTATATCTGAAGATAAACAGAAAAATATCCTTGGGTGAGGATTTAAAATATAAATGAATAAATACAATTGATAGTCATTTATATAGGAAGGAAGAGAGGAAGGAAGAGAGGAAGGAAGGAAGGAAGGAAGGAAGGAAGGAAGGAAGGAAGGAAGGAAGGAAGGAAGGAAGGAAAGGAGGGAGGAAGGAAGGGAAGAAGGAAGACAGGGAGAAGGAGAGAAAGGAGGGGTAAAGAAGAGGAAGTTAATGAACACATACATTTGTTTGGTGACATGAATGAGCATTTCAAGGATGATAGCAGCCATCCAGGTAGTCAGCATTGTCTCCAAAGGCTCTCACGATTAGATGAAAAGAAAAATGTTCAAGTAAGCTGGCGGTCAAATTGTGCTCTGTTCTGTATAGCTAAGGAAACACTATTGTGTAGTTTTGTGCAGGAGATCTTCAATGATCAGCAAAACACGTTTGAAACATACGTGTTTGGTGGGAGAAAGAACAAAGATCCGAAAACAATAACCACCGCGCGTCCCTCTGCGGGTCTGTCTTCCAGGTGCAACTGTGTGGAAGGTTCATTACGTGACTCCCAGATTTTCCCCGGAGGGCGCTGGAGCCTGCTACGGAAGCGGAACCTGTTCCTGCGTCGGAGATGTCACCTCCCATGACCCTCCGCTGCTGTTTGACATTTCTAGAGACCCTTCGGAATCGCGACCTCTCAGCCCTGACAACGAAGCCTTGTTTGACGCCGTGGTGAAGAGAATCCATGCGGCCGTGCGACAGCACCGGAGGACCCTGACCCCCGTCCCACAGCAGCTGTCTGTGTTCAACACCATGTGGAAACCATGGCTGCAGCCCTGCTGTGGGACTTTCCCCTTCTGTGGGTGTGATAAGGAAGATGACATCGCACGCAACGCTTGAGGAGCAGAAAGGGGCTACTTGTTACCAACCACCAACGCACCGTGACAAAGACCTTCAGGAGCAGTGCTCAGCGGACTCATTTCATCCATTCGGGATCAAAAGTAATGGCCTCCGCCTGTGTTTTCAATTCTCAGGTTCCAGGGTTTTTTTCTGAGTCACGCCTTGGACCTCAGTGAGACCCAAGTGGTTCCGCCCACCCGGGAGCGAACGTGGAACATCTGCTATATCATGTTTTTATCACCCTGTGTCATTGTTCAAGGACAAAGAAAGACCAAGGTGACCTTCTCCAGGCCCTTGTGGATCTGTGGGTCCTGGAAGAAGATGAGAAGTAGTAGGTTTGACGTCATTTTTTAAAACTGAATTTATTGGGGTGACCTTGGTTGAGCAATTATATAGGTCTCAGGTGTACAATTCCGTGATGCATCATCTGTGTACTGTATTGCGTGTTCACCACCCCATGTCAAGTCTCCTCCCATCACCGTTTATCCCCCCTTTTACCTTCTACCAACCCCACCTTCTTTCCCTCTGGTCATCACCACACTGTTGTCTGTGTCCACGAATCTTTCTTCTTTTTTAAAAATAATTTTTCTTTATTGATTTTAGAGAGGAAGGGAGAGGGAGAGAAACATTGATGAGAGAGAACGTCTATGGGCCGCCTCCTGCGCGCCCCCCACTGGGGATCGGGCCCACAACCTGGGCATGTGCCCTGACCAGGAATCGAACCAGCGACCTCTTGGTGCAGGGTAGACGCTCAACCCCTGAGCCACAGTGGCTGGTCCATGAGTCTTTCTCTTTTATCTTTGTTTAATCCCTTTACCCTTCTCATCCAGCCTTAACCCCTCCCCTCTGACAGCCATCAGTCTGCTCTCTGTCTCCACAAATCTGTCTCCATGCTGTTTTCGAGTTTATTTGCCCATTAGATTCCACACGAAAGTGAAATCACCTACTATGTGTCTCTCCCTCAGTGGCTGGTGTCCTTGTGTTTACATGATTACATTAGAAACTCCTAAACTCAGACACGCTATTTTTTTTTTTTAACCAATCGTATAGTGTTTCATTTCAGCATGAATTAGATGAATAAATACGAGAGTGATGTCATAATCGTTTTCACTCTTTGATTTCCTATGTTTTCTTATTTCCTTCTCTTCCCGTCTAAGAAGCGCTGGGCTGTCGGTCTGGGCTATGCTTCCCGCTGACCATGTGACCGGGGAGAAATCTCAGTGTTCTGTTTTTTTGTTGTTTTTTTTTTAAAGGGTAAAATGGGGGAAATCAGCATCTATTTCTCAGAATAGCTACGGACCTTTTTGCTTCTTGTGAATTTGCCTTGTGTACAATGAGCACTCAATAAACATTCTTAGGATGAATATTGTCATTGTCAGCACTGATTATTTTACTCCCTGAAGGACAGAATAGAAAGACAGGAGATGAGGATATGGAAGCAAAACATTTTTAAAAAATGATTGAAGATAATGTCATTGATGAGAGGGCTTCAGGAAGCCCTTTGGTTAGCAGGATAAACAGAAATAAATTGATAAGTTAACCTACAAAATAAAAAAAAGTATTAAACTGACAGAATTACTACCAGCCCCAAGGGAAGCCACACGACCATAGTATCGTCTCATCAAATGGTTGAAAGAAAACTATCAACTCAGAATGACACCCCTAAGTTATTTTCCAATGGTGGAGACATTTTTTAAAACATGGGAAACTATTATTGTAAAATCTCCTGTGTCTTTATTTAATGCTGCTTTTAGGTACTTTGAAGTCTTGGTGTTAAGAGCTTTTTTAAAAAAAGTGTTTTCTCTTTCTAACAGGTTGAACCTTCTTGATCATTATACAACTTACATTGTTGTATCTGGTAATGCCGTATATCCTGAAGTCTAGTTAAGTGGAAAGGAAAACAGGCATTTTAGCCGTCTTATAAGTAGTATTTATACGGTGTACCCCTGTCCATTGCTTTACCAAACTATTGAATGTGTTTTCCTCTGAGACACCACGTATTTACGTTTTGGTTTTTAAAATCCATTCTGATGATCTCTGGTATTAGATTGTTTCGTCCATTAACATTTAGTGTAATTGCTGATTATGTTGGATTCTGCTCTTCCAATCTGTTTGATTTATTGGTTGCTATTTTTTCCCATTTTCTTTGACTTAACTGATTTTTTTTCTTTTACAAGTTTCTTATCTTTTAGCCATTCCTCTTTATTTTTTAAAAATATTCTTTCCATGATAGCGGAAATACAATATTATGTTAGTTTCAGGTGTACAACATTGTAATAAAATATTTACATGATTTACGAAGAGATTCCCCCAATAATTCCAGTACCTGCCTGGCACCATATATAGTTATTACAGTATTATTGACTACATTCCCGATGCTGTAATTTATAACACATGACTATTCTGTAACTGCCAATCTGTATGTCCTTTTTTATTTTTTGGTTAATCCTCACCCCAGGATATTTTCCCATTGATTTTTAGATAGAGTAGGAGGGAGGGAGGGAGAGTGAGAGAGAAAGAAATATTGTTGTCAGAGAAACACATTCATTTGTTGCCTCCCACACAACCCCAACCAGGATGAGGATTTGAACTCATAACCCAGGTATGTGCTCTTGACTGGGAATCGAACCTGGCACCCTTTCGTCCAAGAGCTGAAGCTCTAAATGCTAAGCCAAACCAGCCAGAGCCAATCTATGCCTCTTAATCCCTTCACCTTTTTCACCCAGCCTCCCAACCCCTCTCCCATTGGGCAACGACCGGTCTGTTCTTTGATTCATAAGCCTGTTCTTGTTTTGCTTGTTTATTTACCTTGTTTTTTAGATTGCATATACACATGAAATCATAGGGTCTTTGACCTTCTCTGTCTGATTTATTTCACTAAGCATAATAGCCTTTAGGTCCATCCATGCTGTCACTCATGGTGAGATTGTGTTCTTTTACATGGCTGCATACTATTCCATTGTGTGTATGGATCACCTCTTCTTTACCCATGCATCTACTGATGGGCACTTGGGTTGCTTCCTGATCTTGGCCGTTGTAAACAACTCTGAAATTAAAATATGGATGAATATGTCTTTTCGATTCAGTGTTTGGGGTTCCTTTGGATAAATGCACAGGACTGGAATTGTGGGTCCTTCTTTGTCTCTTGTGACAGCCCTTATTTTAAAGTCAATTTTGTCTAAGTATTGCTACCCCTCCTTTTCCCCCCTCACTTCCATTTCTAACCCTTTACTTTTAGTGTGTGTAGTACACTGGCTTTCTGATATCCTCTTTATTGTATATTCTTCAAAGAGCATGCTTTTTAAATTCTTTTTTAAGGAGGAAATTATACTGAACTCAGATCACAAACTTGGATAACCCGGTCCCTGCTGAAATGTCCATTTATCTTTAACTGGTTATTTTGTCTTTCATGGATGTGGTTTTTGTAGGAGCCACAGATCTGGGCAAAGTGTCTAAAGCGTGTTCCCAACGGTTCCTCTGGGGATATTTTCTCCCTGTGATTCTTCTTCTCCCTTTAAGGCAGTGCGGAGTGTTGAACTCTGCCCCCTAATTCTTCCTGCCGGAATGACGGCAGATACTCCATCTGACTTTCAGCTGCCCCTTGGGTATTGCCTACAGGCTGCCCTCAGGTGAGAAGCCTTAAAAAGTGGAAATGCACCCCGTCTTGGTCTCTTCCTCAAGGTGGACTTACCCGTAGTAACTGTCTCCTTTCGGTCACTCTGCAGAACCTTCCCTCATCCACTGTTTGATTTTGGGTGCAGGTAACCGCTGTTATGTCTGGGGAGGCGTGTCTACCCGTCACTGACTTGTCCGTTCTTGCGGTAGAAATCAGAGCAGCATTCCGGAGCCAGGAGCTTGGGGGGAATCCATCACGGCGATGATTCAGCTCCCAACAGAACATTGAAGCCCGCAGGACGGTGAAGGGTGTCACCGGACCACAGGTCGCTGAGGAGCCTGCAGAATAATTGCACCACGACGTGGACGGTGTCTCCCCGAGTGTGTGGCATGGTTGAGGCGACCTGTCCATGTTCCCAGGTTTGTGAAAGAAGAAAGAAGTCTGTGGGCTGCAGGGCAACATCTACAGAGTCCAGAAACACAACAACAGCAGCAACAACAACAAATGCAACAGTGGTTTAGGAGAAAACAAACAAACAGAAACACAACAACCAATGTGCTCACAAGGACACAGAGAGGCTGAAACAGATGTTTCACCCTGAACAATGTATGGGTGGAGTCTAAGATCATGAGCAGGTGCTAACATCATGGTCCCTCGGGCAGGTGCAATACCTCACAGCCCCGTACGTGCAAAAACGGTGAAATGACCAGCACTGCCCAGTGTGGGCCAGAATTGGGAGGATCAGCATTTTCCTTAATTTCCTCTTGACGCTATCAGCCGCTGTAACCGCTTTGGGACAGTTCTGAGCGAGTTAGATTGCGGGTGGAGGACCCAGAAATTGCTCTTCTAGGTGTTCCCCCAAGAGAAATGCAGTGTGTGCACCTACGAAGCCCGGGACATGCATGTTGTAGGATTGTTATTGATAAGGGCCACCCCGTAGGTTAGCCCAGGTGTCCGTGGATAGAGTCAGAGGTCAACACTGCACGCAGCAAAACATTGCTCCGTAGTCCTATATGGATGTCAGAACACCAACCTGAAAGGAATAAATCAGGCACTAGACAGGACACAAGGTATCATTGTCTTTATATGAAATTCTCCAAAATGCCAATTTAATCTTTGGTTTGGAAAAGCCAATCTGGGCTCACCTGAGGCCAAGAATTGAGGTGGAGTTTCCTTAAAAACAAACAAACAAACAAACAAACAAAAAAACAAACGAACACCACAGAGAAAAATGAGTGTGGTGGTTACAGGAGTGAACTCTTTATTTTATTTTATTATTATTATTTTTTGCTTTTATTCTTTGTCGACAGTCATTGGCCCGGACCTTGGAGATGCAGCCATTCCGTTGTCTCAATAATGGATTATTGCAACAAAGTCATAAGGT